AACTGTCCAGACAGTGGTGACATTTTCAGCTTGACATGGTAAGATGATCATGATCTTGATACAGTATAAAAGTGTGCTATCTCATGTGCAATTCCTTATAGATCCAGGTTGATTTCCTCCCATGTATCCTCTTGGAGTTTGTACCTGATTTTATTACCAGTTTTTATCCTAATTCATTGATAAATGATTTTTGATTTTTTTATGACCAGGAATTGCTTGATCCTCCAAGCCTTGTGAGAAGACATGGCAAAGAACACAGCCAAGTGTGCGTACCATTATGGTGGAGAAAAGGCAAAGACCTGGAACATCAATTTTCATGAGAAGTGTGTAATGTGTTTTGGGGGGACCATTTCAGCATAATAAAAATTCAGACATGTTTACATGAACTCAGATACATGTCACTGAATACTATCATATAGTTAGGTAAGTGCATTAGTTTCTTTGAATCTCAGGTCCCTTACTTATTAAATGTTGAGATTTCCAGGTACAGTGATGCACAACTATAATCCCAGCAACTCAGGAGTGAGGAGGACTGCACGTTCCAATCCAACCTCATAATTTAGTGAAACTCTGTTTCAATATTTAAAAAAATTAAAGAAAAGGCTATGGATGTAGCTGAGTGGTAAAGCACCTATGGGTTCAATCCCCAGTATCAAAAAAAAAAAAAAAAAAAGAGACTGACTCAAAAGAGTACGGCAAAGATTAAATGTGATAAGCTATGTAATATTTTTTTTGGCATAGTTCCTGATATACAGTGAACAATAAGTGGTGGAACTGAGGAAAGTACATCTAAAAGGAAAGAAACTGGCTTTATATTATATTAAGTTGCATGTATGTTTTGTGTCTTTGGTTATCTAGTGCTTGTTCTCTACCAGTCATTGTCTAAACTTTTTATCCATGTAAGTTCATTTAATCTTCCAAACAGTCAGTTTGAAGGCAGTTACTATTGTTATTTGCATTTTAAAGATGTGAATCTGGGGAAACTAAGATACAGAGAAGTTAGAAAACTTGCCCAAGTTCACTTAGCTACTAAGTGTTGGATACTAAGTGTTTGTTGTACAAACCCAGGTACAGTCAGTCATGCATCCTTTAACAACAAGAATACTGTCTGAGCATTTGTCATTGTTGTAGGCCATTTTGTCATTGTTCAAACATCATAGCGTACACTTACACAAACCTAGATGGTATAGCTTACTGTGCACCTAGGTTATACAGTATAGTCTATTTTAAAAATGTATATGTAGACATACCTATGATAGGGAACAGACAGATGTGAACAGTGGAAACATGAGATTCTATAAACTGGGCCCCCTGTGCTGATCCCTACGTTTTCACCTCTGAAAAACAATTACCAGGCTGGGGTTGTGACTCAGTGGTAGAGCGCTTGCCTAACATGTATGAGTTAGGCAAGTGGGTTAGTTTCTTTGAATCTCAGGTCCCTTATTTATTAAATGTCGAGATTTCCAGGCAATTTTCCAGTTCAATTCTCAGCACCACATAAAAAAATAAAGATAGTGTCCATCTACAGCTTAAAAAAAAAAAAAAAAGCAATTTACCTGCCGGCCTGCCTGACTTAAGTTCACAGGATATGTTACATTCCTTCTATCTGTAGAAGAAATGCAGGCCCCACAGTGCCGATAAGAGGAACACAAGTTATCTTGAAACAAAGCTGGGGGCAGTGGTGGGATGACTTTTATGAACCTTACACAGACCAGATCTTGGAACTCAGAGAGATAAGGCTAATTCCCCCTAACCATAAAATCTGTAAGAACAGGTTCCAGTTAGAACTGGTCAGCATGGGCCAGTGACCTAGAGTTGTTATGGCAGTGGGAACTGATGTCACCCTGCTTTCAATCAAAAGCAAGAGGTGGAGCCAGGTGCATGCAAGCCTGTAATCCTAGTGGCTCTGGAGGCTGAAGCAGAAGGATTTCAAATTCAAGGCAAGTCTCAGAAACTTAGTGAGATCCTTAGCAACTTAGTGACACTCTGTTTCAAAATAAAAAAATAAAAAATGCTGGGGATATAACTCCGTAGTAGAGCCCCTCTGGGTTCGATCCCTAGTACCAAAAAGAAAAATATAAAAATGAAGACACAGGTGGCTGGGGTGGTAGCTCAGTGAGAGCACACTGATCTTCAGTACCACATAAAAATAATAAAGGTTAAATTCTTTTAAAAAGATGGAGACACAAACACAATTAGCCTAGGCTCACACAGGGACAGGATTATCAATATTATTGCTTTCTACCTCCATGTCTTGTCTCACTGGAAAGTCCTTAGGAATGATAAAACACATGAAGCTGTCATCTCCTCTGATAGCATTGTCTTCTGAAATATCTCCTGAAGGAGTGGCCTGAGGCTGTTTTATAGTTAATTTTGTTTTTTTAATAGTAGGAGTGGGGGGGGTTGGGGGGCTTGGGTTGTGGCTTAGTGGTACAGCGCTTGCCTAGCATGTGTGGGGCACTGGGTTCAATCCTCAGCACCACATAAAAATAAAATAGATACTATGCTCAACTAAAACTAAAAAATAAATGCTTAAAAAAATAGTAGGAGTACACATTAGTTTTTCCTTTTTTTGTGCTACCGGGGATTGAACCCAGGGAAACTTTACCACTGAGCTACCTACATCCCTGCCTCAGCAACTTAGTGAGACCCTGTCTCAAAAAATAAAAACAACTGGGGGATATAGCTCAGAGCTAAAGTGTCCCTGGGTTCAACCCCCAGTACAAAAAAATAAATAATTAAAAATAAAAAGAAACAAAGACTGGATCAAACTAGCTAGCAATCCTCTGATCTCCTTCCTCAGGCTCTGGAGTTCTTGGATCACAGATGTGTGCCACCGCATCCTGCTTAGAGTCCACAGTCTTTACTTTCTAAACATTAAGAGATTATTCATTTCTGGGTTGGGGATGTGGCTCAAGTGGTAGCACTCTCACCTAGCATGCATGAGGTACTGGGTTCGATTCTCAGCACCACATAAAAATAAAATAAAGATATTGTGTCTACCTAAAACTAAAAAATAAATATTAAAAAAAGAAGATTATTCATTTCTCTACCATCTAACTCCAGACCCCACTGACATCTAACTCATTTTCTCTGCTCTCCCTCTTGTTACTATAGAAGAAACAGCTGCTTCTATAAAAGATCAACTCTTTCACTTGGGCTTGGGGCTTAACCTTACCAAGAGTTCTACTATTGCTATTCTCTTCTTTCTCTAGGATGTCTCCAGTATTTCTCTTCTCTGGAAATCAGCAAAATAACACTTTCTAGTACTTTCACTCCAGACTGAAAAACAAGAAAACAAAGAAGCCCTCATTACCCTCTCTTCCTCTTCTAGATAATGCTCCACTACTGGGTTCCCTTTCTAGTTCTTTCTGCTGGTATTTGTGTGCCTGGCTTTTTCTTATCCTTGACATCTGTTTAAATGCCACTTCCTGTGACCGGCCTACCTTGACCCTCTGGTATAAAGTACCCACCCACTGACTTCCTTTTTCATCAGTTTATTAAATTCTCTGGCAAGGGTTTATCAGTAAAACCCTGCTCTTGTAACTCCAACTACTTGGGAGGCTGTGTCAAAAGGATTTTGAGTTGAAGGCCAGCCTAAACAGTTTAGCAAGAACCTGCCTCAAAAGTGGACACACCCAATGTCAGGAATTGAATAATTTTCTTGTTTAGTGTTTACTTCCATCACAGAGTATATTCCCCCCCCCCCCAGAGATTGAACCCAGCAGTGCTTAACTACTGAGCCACATCCCCAGCTCTTTTTATTTTGAGATACAGTCTCCCTAAGTTGCTTAGGGCCTAAGCTAAATTGCTGAGGCTGATCTTGAATTTGTGATTCTCCTGTCTCAGCCTTCCAAACTGCTGGGATTACAGACCTGTACCACCCACCACATTCAGCTACAGAATGTAATCTCTTAGAGAGAGCTCTCATTGAATGTTGCATTCCCTGGACCTCCAACAGTGTCTGGATATAGTATGAGATTTATAACCTCTTTTTTTAAAAACATGCGGTGCTAAGAATCCAAACCAGTGCCTCACACATGCTAGGGAAGTGCTCTGCCACTGAGCCACAAATACTTATACTGCCCTTCTAGGCTGCAAGTGATCTACTTTTACTTCTCCAGCCTAGCATCCTACCACTTTTTCCCTGGTTTACTGCTACAGTAACATTGAGTTTCTTGCTATTCCTAACATCTGGTCTTTACAATTAGAATTCCTTCAGCTTGAAAGTCTCTTCCCCCAGGTCCCTCCTTCATTTTCTTCAGGTCTTTGCTTTGGTCAAAAGTTATCTTCTCTTTCAGACCTTCTCTGTTTAAGAATCTAAAAAAGCAGGGGCTGGGGTTGTGGTTCAGCAGTACAGCGTTCGCCTAGCGCATGCGAGGCCCTGGGTGCATGCGAGGCCCTGGGTGCATGCGAGGCCCTGGGTTCGATACTCAGCACCATATTAAATAAACAAATAAAACAAAGGTACTGTATACAACTAAAATAAATATTAAAAAAGAATTTAAAAAGGCAACACTAACTTTACTTCTTTCCTTGTTTAACTATTTTCCAGGGCACTTACCAATTTTCAATATATCATTTACTATATATATTCAATATATCATTTACTATGTTTTGTCTAGTGCAAAACAATAAAAGTTTATTAATTGAATGGGATTTGTGGAACAAATGCATAAGTGAATATCAGATGTGAAGTCTTTTGGTATCATCGCGGCTTATTTATTCCTTGTGTGAATAAATAATCATAACAGCAGTGTTCATGCTTGCATTCTCGTTGGCTGGCACCGAGCCCTGCACACAAGAGTCGCCCGGAGCTCGCGTGTTTGACAGTGATTGCTGGGGGCGTGGGTCCG